AACGAAATGATCTTGCCCCATCAGACTCCGTCACTCTGTTCCCAGATCTCAGTAATGATTGTGGAGAGTACAGTATTGTCGTAACTGATAGAAATGTTAGTCAAAGCTATCTAAATAAGTTGTAGTGAACTGGAATAATCCTTTAAAAACATACAGTGAGGTTTTGAAAGATTGTCTTGCGGGTCGACTATCAAATTAAGGGTTAAGAACAAAGACAACAAAAATAATTATTCATGTGTCTGGCCCTTTTGCCTCACAGTAACAGCTAGCATACACTATAATGAGACTGTTTACTCTTCCTGAGGTATAAAGAATTTCTTTAAAATGACTCAAGGATTGAGACGATGAAGCAAATAGGTTTATGTAGTGGGGTTTTCTCTGATGTGGCGGGGTTCGTCTTTCTCCTTGGTGTGGGTGGATCAGTGGGGATTTGTTCTGTTTGATGTATTGCACACAATATCTTAATACTTATCAGCTAACATATACATATCTGTAACATTGTGTGGTGTAGGTGTGTTTGGTACAATGACACTGCTGTTCAGAAAATGGATTTGTGGCTGCTTTCTTGAAGTGTTTGTTAGATTAACCAGGGCTACTGCCATACCAATTCATGTGCAGAATCACATGTGGTGTGTATGTGTGTGTACATTGAGTTATTCTATAAAATATGAGACTCTAAATTATATACTGTATTAATAATTGCCACTAAAATCTTTTTATAAAAGTGAAGTCTTCTTACTGCAGCCATTCTCACTGTAGGGGTTCGTTCAACACAGTGTATGAAAAGTGTTAGCAGAGAGAGCAGGGACAAATGTTTTACTGGGAACACATGAATGATTTTGGTGTCTATGTTCTTTTGTATTTCAAAATATAATACGCTCACAAGTCTGTGCTCTTTGTTGTTTTCAAATGTTTCCAAAATATGGTGTATTTCAGTACTGAAGTTTTAAAAGTATTCAGCCCAAGTCTGATTAGAGCATTGGTTTGACCATCAGCCTAATGATGAGACAGCACAGCAACAGAAAAGTGGAGGGAAAGGAGGGCTGGAGAGTTTGGGGGCGGGGGGCACTCTCAGGGAGGAGGAGGAGGAGTAGGGGAGAAAATGAGGCTGAAATAAAGTGAAAGATGGTTTGGTTTACCAAAAATGCCCTCTGTCAGTCATGGAAAAGAATAGACAAAGAAAAAAGAGAGAAAAGAAAGAATGAAAAGTGAAAGACTGATAAACGGTCAACCACAGAGCAACAAATTACTTTATATAAGGATATATACAGTAAATCATCTTCCAGAGGACTTTAAAACAAATGAAAACTTAGTGAAAACTAACACACCAGTAAGAGCAACAACAGTTCATCGTGGCTAATGGTGAAAACGTGGCAGTCTCAGAAGTTGGTTGGGTCAGTCAGTGCTTGCTGCCATACTGAAACAACATATCCCATATTACACTAAATCTATCCTCCTTTTCCAGAATCCCTATCAGGGTCAGGACCAGCACTACCAAAGAGACTGTGTGCATGTGAGTTTGCTTGCACTGAGGGGAAGACAGTTGGGTGTATAAGGTAGCAATGTAATAACTGTCAGATAAGTTCATACTTGTCAAAATGTAACAACATCTTTAGGAGCACTCATTTATTTCCATTTCCAAGAGAAAAAAGATTGTAAACCCTCTAATAAAATGTGGAGGTTCTTTCTTGACCTTGGGAACACATAAGTGATAAAATATTCTAAAGGCAAAGTTCAGTTCATTAGCTATTCCAGACGCTTTGGCAGTCCTTGTCACTGCTAACCCTCCATTCACACATACAGACTCAAAAAGTGACAAGCTGCCAGTCACTGTGAACTGACCCTCGAAAACTGAGACACTGAGACCTCAAAAGGCGTTCAGCGCGGCAACGTGGGAAAGTTCAACTTTATGCAAATGTGCACTGACCGCTGGGAGCAACTCCACCACATAGGAGTCCTGGTCAGTGGCTTCTAAACGTCTACAATATAGTTTTAAAACACTACCTGGACATCAACAAGAAAAACAAAGAGGAACAAAGTAAAAGGCAGCCTGACTGATCAGTAGGAGTTGATACTGTTGATAACAAGGGCATGAAAACTCACAGGCTTCCCAGCTGTCAACACTCCCAATTATTGTTGTTTCATGGGGCCAAGCTAGAGGTGTGGGTATTAAACCACGGTCCCTGTTGTCTTCTGTGACCCCACTGGATGACGCTTGGTTTAAAATCAGATGGGATTAAATCCATTAATATCCCCTTACTGCATATATTATGTACATTTCTTTGATGAGTAATAGCAGGTGCGCTGTACGACGGGCAGTGTGAAATTTGTAGGTTGGTAGCAGTCTGTGCGTGTGGACTAGTGACAGTGTGTACATGTAGGTATGCACAGTGTTATTTTGTATCTTTTAACAGCAGACACTGTATGTGTCCAAGACAAATTTCTTTCGGGACAATTAATTTTATCTTACAACACTGTACCTCTCAAGTATTGACAGAATTTTCATGGACACAAAAACCAAAATGAACCCTAGCTGAGACTAATGTTGAAGAGCATTACTTTATTAAAGTCATGGTTTAAATGTGGCTTTTAATTTTTGTTGTCCAACAATTATGAAATGAAAAAACATCTACTAAAATTAATCTATTTTAAGAAGAATCATTCAAAGCTCCAGCAGGTGTATTAGAATCATTTTGTGCCATGTGGCAGGACAACACTTTGACTTTGGTCCAGAGTACATTTTGACAAGTCATTGTATTACCTGGTAGTTAATACATTCAGTGGATACGGGGATCATTGTGGAAAACATGCACTATGTCGCACACTCTCAGGGATATCATGCTTCATTCATCATTGTAGAAATAATACTGTGACTGCTGGACAGTCTCAAACACATCAGCTTTCAAACGCCAACATGCGTCCTCCTCTCTCTCACATCTGTCATCGTCTGACCAAGGTGCAGACACACTGTCCATCAAATGTCTTTCTTAGAAGAAAATGCTTAAACGATGCGCCTCGTGAACTTTCAAAATGTGCGTACACTTCGTTTTGTAGTTTATTTTCTAGGCCCTTTCAGTTTGGCCACAAAATGGAAGCCATGTCCTTCCTTTCCGGCAGTGGACCTGAGTGAACCTACCTTCTGCCACGCCCCACGGGTACTGGCGACCTCTGACCTTCTTGCCGTTCACCTCGATTACCACGTTGCTGCCGACTACTGCCAGTGGCATCTTCTCCTGGAGTGGAAAGACAAAAGACTTTTTTTCTTTACTGTTCTTATGGCTCTTTCTGGAAGGACTGCTGCTTACTGCTGTTTGAAAGACTGCTCTTCCATATCTTATTGGTCACGGTTTCATTCCAGTTAATTGCGTGCATCTGGGATTACTTACTGCTAAATCTCACTGCAGTAATGATGGCCAACATCTAAATGATTGGGGGGGTTATTTCACGTGTGGTACTATTCGTGGCTGTTGCCAGAGGCAGCAGTTACTCAGGCAGGCGTGACATGGACGATGATCCCTAGTGAAAGTTCTTCAATGAGCTTGTCTATAAAGCTGGTAATCAGTTATGCAATTAGGCTGCCAGGCACGGGGGAATTGGATGGAGGCAGCTGCAGGGGCTGAACACTGACCAAAGGACAAACTGACCTTTGGCTGTCTGCGGCTCCATTTAACTGTCTTACGGCTGAGAACAATCACCGTACTTAAATTAAGTTTTAGAAGACTAACAAGATTGTGTGGTCCATTACCTTGATCTTTCGGATGAGCTTGTTGTCCTCGTCGTCCTCCGTGTCTGGGAATTCATAAATTTTGATTTTGTGCTCCTGTATCTCTTTCATAATCTGACAAAGGGAGAAAGTAATCAGAAGAAACAAATTTTAATTTGTCTTTTGGGTTTAAAATCCTTTTACACTTAAAAGGAATAATTTGACATTTAATGCTTATTTTAAAGACGTTTATTAAGAATAGAGCCAGGCGAGCTGTTTCCACCTGTTTCAAGTCTTTATGCTGAGCGATATCGATTTAACTAACTCTCTGAAAGAAAGCTAATAAGCGTACCTCCCAAAATGAGTAAAATAAGCCCCACATGTGTGACAAATTGTTCTGTCTGTTAACCTTGGTTAGACAGAGGTCTGCTTATCCCAATGATGTGACACATCCATACACAAATACCTGTTTTTTAAAAAGCTGGCACTCCTCTGGGGTCAGAGTGTCGGCTTTTGCAATAAGAGGGATGACGTTGACCTTGTCATGGAGTCTCTTCATGAACTCGATGTCCAGCGGCTTCAGACTGAAGGGTAGACAGAAAGAAAACCATAAGAACTACAAATTTCACCAAAACCATCAACAAATCAACGGAAGTCTATTTATTTTCTACATAAAGTCATTATTTCTGTGAACAAATAATTCATTGACAAGAATGAATCTAAAGAAAATGCCACAGTGGGCTTCCTCAGTGCACAGCTTTCCAAATGGAATGCAGTTCAGAGGGTCACCAGCAGGGGGCCAAACAAAACATGTACATGTAGCCCAAGAAGAAGACACAATGAGGCCAGTTGAGTGTGACTGACTTTTTGTCTTATGTGCTCTTCTTCTGTGGTGACAACTAATGCTTCTGTCTTGCTGGGCTGATGACAGATTGTCTTTGTAATACTCCCATAGGCTCTCTGTCTCTGTCTGAATGACAAGTAGGACTCGTATTTAGTTGTGTGGCCAGAAACAGAGCTCTCATATGGCATGAAGTTGGTGGGCTGTTTGCAAGTGTGGGCAGTGTATGTGGAAAGTGAGTATGTGCTGCATAATGGGAGAAATTTATGTAAAAATATAACTGTACATGGTTGAATACTTGTATCCAGTTGTACCCCTATGACTACAGTTATCTTTATATATGTACATTCAAATGATGCCTGCTATGTGCGGACATGTGTGTCTGCGTGTAATGAGAGTGAGTAAAGGGGATGCTGAGATACTCATTCCACGAATGCAGAAAAACAAATAGGGCGACAAAACAGCTGTCAAGTGATTCACTAATTCACAGAGGCACACAGAGACCGTAAGACCAGGGTCAGGCCCGTGTATAGTGCAGGATCAGAGGAGCCCTGGAGGGAATGCGTCCCAGAGAAAACAGGAGTCAGATTGTCTGGTCTAAGCAGGGGAGACTGCATGAGATACTGACTGTCAACGCACTTATGTGATCTCAAAAAGTTACTCTTTTCAGTAAATAATAAATCGTCTTTACACACTGACAGTGATTTATCAACCTAGCAGCACTCACTGCTGGTTGTACTGACTGTTGGAACTTTATTCTCCCTTTGGTTTCTTGGGGTATAAAACACCACAGACAGGCTAAGCTTGGAAACATGAGCATGCAGTTTACTTTTAATGCAGGATTTATAGGATTTAAAATATGGAAGCAGCAGCATGCAAACTACATTTCTGCAACTGTGGGAGAAGGTTTGAATGTGTACACAGTCTGCTAGGAAACTATATAACAGCAGAGAGACAGAAAAAGAACAATTATCTGATGGATAACTAAGATTTAGTGACTTGTCAGTGCCTCAATGGTTAGACTGAATTTCTATCAACAATCTTGGAATACAAGATTGGGGCATGCCACAGCCTTTTATTGACATTTATAGAGCTGTCAAATACAGAGAAGTGTAGCAAACTGATGTTCAAACTCACTTGCACTTACTGCACTGTGCTGGGCAGAAAACTTGATTTCCAGATTAATGTATTTTAGGTCCCTTTAAGACATGCGCCTCCTACAGCTGCAATCTAATGAGGTCTAATGAGTCTAATGAGTAGTAATATTACTCACAACTTCCAACCCGGCACAAGTCTAAACGGAATGCAGTAATAAACATAACGACTGCAGCATCACAGCAGAGAAATTAAAGACACGTCTAAATTCACAGTAACATCTAAATTCACAGTAACATCTTCTACACTCAATGATTTTAAGTTGTTAAAATTCATAATAGTCGTTAAAAATCATTTGCCTCTTACATAAGTGGCTATGCTACAGCCATGCTAGCTAGTCTCTGTGTGAGACAGCACAGCTCTGTTTTGAGCTAAATCCTAACATGCTCGTAATGACAATGCTAACGTTTAGCATTGTAGCTTGTCATCCCGAGTGGGCGTGAATATCTGCTCCAGTCAATCCATCCTTTAGTTATGGGGATGCTTGTGGACCGAAGTGGTGGACGACGGACCCAACGGCCGACAGGCATAACCATCCCTTGAGCCAAGGTGCGTGGCTAGAAATCCCTCCTCAAACACTTCCAATACTCTCAAAAACATTTATAGTTACTCTTTACATTTCTAAACACACTTTCGATGTCTTGTGTATTGTTCCTCTTCTTGTCCCTGGCTAAATGTGACAGTAAGTATCAGATTTTGATGTGTGCCTGTCAGAAGAAAAAAAGCAGTTTTACAGGGGGAAGCTGAAAACAGAAAAGAGGCCAACTGCCTTATCAACAGACAGCAACACGTTCATACGCTTTCTGGCTGGTACTAGTGAAGAATTTGCACATTAATGTAAGTTTAAACACTTGGCTGACTCAACTCTGCAGATTTAAACAACCCAGGGATGATTTAGATCACCATCAGTAAGCCTGATGGATCTTGGGTTTTGTGGAAACAGAGCTCCACATTTTAACTCAGTCTGGCGCTGCAGCTATATTGAGAAACAGGGGATGTTTCAGGGATGCAAACACACACACACACACACACAGAGACAGAGTGTGTTTGTCTGAGATGAGAGGCCTGTCTCTGTGAGCTGCTCCGAGCCTCCATTCTGATTGGGTGATTCAGTGATGGAGAGCAGAACTCTACTGAGCATGAGCAGAACTGGGTTATATAACCTTTGTGGGTCACAAGCACTGGCTGGCATAGACACACACACCCTTTTGCTTGAGCTTTAGCTTGCATATCCGGCAGAGGATCTCCAAGGCAAAGAAAGGTCATAGGTCACATAGGTTTACTGATTGGCACAGCACTGTCATTTGGACCAGTAGAGATGAATGTTGGTTAGTGTTTATAACACATTTGAATACAAATAGCCTCGAAAAGGGGGCATCTTGACCAGAACAAAACCATCCGCCCACTTGCCAAATGCTGCTTCTAAAATGCTGGCTACAGAATGTCTTCCTTCTCAAGGTTGGAACTATGATACTGCATAAAATTATAGCCATGGAAGAAACTTAAAGCTGCTATACTCAATATTTTATGTTAACAATGGATCAAATGACTACTTTCTAATGTGAAAGGGGTCTCTCGTAGTGACTGACCCACAGAGAACCGTCACCCGACCGTAGTTAACCTCAACGTTTTAGCATCTTTCAGTTGATTGTTTTTTAATCACCCATAACTTTACTGCTGATTTATTCTCCTCACTGCTTGAATCAGTTTCCAGACGCAGCAGGAAGCTGTTTTCAACAAATACTCTAATAAACCCACTACCTGCTCTAGGGCTGTGCGATCGGATTTAAAATCTCATATCCTGATAGGATCATTTCATATCACAATAACGATACATATCCCGACATAGAACTTGTGCTGTCTTTACAGTTAAGTTAATAGTTGAATAAGTTAGAAAACTGAGCTTAAAAAGTTAAATTAGAGGGGTTCATGCTGGGTGCTGCCCTCTACTGGTCAGGGTAAATAATTCAGTGAAGCACACTTCAGTTGAACACAGACAGGCAAGAAAGACAGTGCTGGATTCATGTTGCTGATTGTATTTCTGATACACTTCAGCCTCTCAGACTATGTGCCTGTAAGTGATGTATAAATAATTTTCAATCATCTGTAGATGTTGTGGTAGGTAAACTGTGTTTTCATACAGTAGGCTACAGTGCTTGTTTTACACTTTGATAGGAATTGTGTAGTAACATTGTTATGTGTATCATATGTAATGTCTGTATGCATATGTTCATGTTTTGGGTACTGATTTATATTCTTATTCTGTAATGTTTCAGTTTTACAAAACAAAAGAGGAAACAACTGATAAATGAAATAAAAGTCAAGCCTTGTGTGTTTATTGGAGGACTTTTGAATGTTAACTGGCTGTCTAGCTTTGCACAAGAGATCACATTGCAAGGGCAGCACAGAACTTATAAAAAATAACAAATTTAATGAAATATCATGAGTTACTGTTGGAATTTCCAACATAAAAGGTGAGGTATGTAATTCTGGAGAAATCCAATAACATGATGTACAGTGAACAAAAACACAGCAATGTAACTAACGTTAGCTAAGTTGTGATGTTAGCTAAACTCTCATGTTGGCTGCAAAGCTAACATGAGAGGACAAGACGCTCCCAGAGAAGCGTATCAGCTTCAGACAGTGATACTCACAGCTCTCACGCTGCTATAGCTACTGTTGAGAATATTTCTTAAGGGGCATTGTTGATATAACAGGGAAAGGTAAGACAGTTCCTAGCTTAGAGAAATTTAGCTGACCCCATAAGTGTTTTTTGACATTCTAGCTTTGGGTATTTAACAGACAACAATAGACTGATCTGTGCAGACTTTTTTGAAGTAAGGTCCCATGGTGGTCCACTGGAAGGGGAGGGGCTTAGGTTCTCTATATCCAAGTTATAACCAATTTAAAACTAACTTTACTGTGGTGCAAAGCGTCATTCCTTTGCAAAAATATTACTGTAAAGTGTAGAATTTGCAAAAACAATACAGCATATTTGTAAATGATAGACATTTTTCTATCGTCAAATGATCTATATCGCCATATGGTGCTGGGCACAGCCCTAACCTGCCCAGCACCATATGGCAGACAGACAAAGTTAGCAATTAGCTGATGAATATAGTGGAGTATTTCGCAGCTACAGCGCCAGATATTTTTCTCAGGAGTTGATTTTTGGTGACCAAAACAGAGCTAAAGTTGAGTGAATAATGGACTTCCATTCATCAGGTGGCCAAAAACACAACTCCAAATACATGCTAATGTTGCTCTTTGTGTGCAGGATGAGTAAATAAGCAAATGTTTGCTTCATCAAATTTATATATACAGGCCATTTATCATTCACCTTTGCTTTAAATACTTGAGATTGACCTGGCCTCCTCCCAAAACGATTCAGCTTGAGGTACTCAATGAGGCATTATTGGGCATTGATTTATCTCATTATAGCCTCATTTCGTCTCACCATACTTGACTCTACCTTATTACACCTTCATCTAATGCAGACCTACCCGTGTCCAGAGGGCGCAATGAAGTATAGGCAGCAGTGGACTCTGTTGTCTGGCATGGATCTGCGGTTCACCCTCGACTCTGCATTGAGGAAGTCCTCGCACTTACTGTCAATGTAATTTATGACTGGCTGCCAACTGGGAAGATAGAGAAAAGACATCAGGCAGAGAAAAGAGGACGTTGGTTAATAAAGAACATATGATCATTTGGTAAGATCAGAGACGTTTTATAGAGGAGACTCAATCACATCCTCAATACAACTCTATAGGGAAAGCCCAAAGCCCAATCGTGTGGTTGCTCTGACTTAAGGGTCTGTTTTACTTCTATTGCTCATGTGTGGTAGTGGTGACGCATGCGTACTGGAAGCATAACTGGTTCGGAAAAATGCTGTTTAAACCTTATTTTGGGGTTGTCAAAGTTGTCAAAGTTTTTCAGCGATTTTAATTAGATTTTACTGCTGATTCTATTCATGTAGTTTTTATGTCCCGGTGAGCAGTGAAAGTGCAGATCTGGCGCTCTCCCCATTCATTCAGATAGGAGCCTGGTCTTGTTAGTCTGAAATAGCTGCCCGGCGGCATTGCCAAGATGGCTGCTGAGTGGCATGACTTGCCTATATGGATTTTGGTAAGATCTAACTGTTCACATGTTAACACTTTGATTATGCCAGCACTCCTCACCAGTTGCTGTTGTCCACTGCATCTCCAAACCCTGGTGTATCGACAATGGTGAGTGTCAGTTGAACCCCTCCTTCCTTAATCAGCACTTTGGACTGCTCCACCTGAAAACACACCAACATTCACACCATTTAGTACACTATGGATTGGAGTCAAACATACGCTTTACATCTAAATCCTAGCTGTTGCAGTGTTCCAGTAATCTTTCAGTATTCGTGTGGATTCAACACTTTGTAAATGCAATTCAGAATACAATTTGGCAACACCAAAGTGCCCACCCACATTGGCCTACATGTTTAATTATGTGACACTATCCTCTCCCACTCATGACACTGATGATGCATCATACACTGCAAGTGCACCCACACAGCCTGCTGGGAGATTGAGAGATACCAGTATCTGCTAGTTGTAATGTGTGTGGAACGTTAACTCCTGAAAGAAGCTAATCCTGGAAATGACATTAGGTGGCAAAGTTCAACTTCTTAAAGAGCAGCTTCACACTAAATCTTGTATGGGAGGAAAAGCACTGCTGCACCGACCTCTATGGGTTGAAAGCTTAAGAATGATCATACACACGGCTGACACAAGTGAGTGTGAGGTATTTAAAATTATGAAAGTGATGACCTGATAAATATTACTTCAGTTGTTTTAGGTCTGAGCTGTCAAGAGTTTTTTACCCAAGCAAATGTCAGCTCAATTACATACTTTACAATCATCTGCTACTACACAACAATATTGTAAGAAATAATATAGAGGACATGATATTCACTGTGATGGATTGCCTCTCAAGCTCAACTATATTTACAGTCACTTATTACACTACCAATTGATTCCACTCCAAAGCTTTCACGGCGCCAGCAGTTATTTGCCTTTTTCCAGAAGAAAATCAAGTAATGCTCTAGATCAATAAAATAACAGCACCTTCAGTGCTATTCATACTATGTCATTGTATATACTGTATACCAATACACCTACCTCAGGTCATAAGGTCATAGCTCTTATTTATTTTTCCAGCATCCTTTGCACTATAATCCATCACACTGTGTACATGTATGCATGTATGTGTACATGTATATCATATCCACCTTCTACATGTACATAATGAGAATAGTTTACTCTTGCATCTTTTGCACTCTGATCACTGCACTATTTGTCAATATGTCTATATTGTTTTGTTCATAGTGTGTATATTAGTGTTGTCTATACTGTAGTTTGTGTCTGATTTTATTTTATTATTTATTATTGTGTTATGGTATTTTTGTATGAGTAAGGACACCATGAGCATTGTACAATCGTATGTGTACACATACCTGACAATAAAGCTGATTCTGATTCTGATAAAATAAAATAATTAATAACAAATCTTATGATGCCTTGTACTCCACACCCCAGAGGTACAGGGCTATATAATGTTTACTCATCCTTTACTTATCATAGCTTAATTTTACTGATGTATAAAAACAGAAATCATCACCAAGTCTTTTTTGGCTCCATGGCAGAGTGCACAAGAAGTCATCACTTGCTATCAGTGCTGTCACTCGAGTCATAGTTGGTTGGGGCTTAAGACAACAAGTCTGAGAATGAAAACGCGTGAAATAAAACAGACAAACTCTCTGGTTCTGTTTTGAGACTTTAGAAATTCCATCATGAGTCTGCCAATGTTATGGGAGTACAATGCTAAATGAGTAAAGTAGCCTTTGAAGCCTCACCGAGCTGGTGGTTAAAATAAGTATGGGTCTGAACCGCCCTCTTGGCCGTCAGTGAAGGTGGAGACCTGGCGGGACTGGGATCACTGTCACTCAGTTAAAATGACACTTCAGGTTGGAGCTGTTAACAAGTGAAATGGTTGTTCTGTCACACGGGCGACTAAATGCATCTGTTGTACACGGGGCGACAGAGGGATGCTGGAGCCACGAGTTGTTAGTCTTTTTAGATTCGGCGCAAACACATACAAAGTCAATAGAAGGAAGGACACATGGATGTAAATGCCTATGAATAATGCAAGGTTAAAACATCAAGGTCAAAAGTGATGTTCAGTCAGAACCGTCTGAACTCACTTTTGTGTGATGTGATGTTCAGTCTGAACTCACTTTTGTGTGATGTGATGTTCAGTCAGAACCGTCTGAACTCACTTTTGTGTGATGTGATGTTCAGTCTGAACTCACTTTTGTGTGATGTGATGTTCAGTCTGAACTCACTTTTGTGTGATGTGATGTTCAGTCTGAACTCACTTTTGTGTGATGTGATGTTCAGTCTGAACTCACTTTTGTGTGATGTGATGTTCAGTCTGAACTCACTTTTGTGTGATGTGATGTTCAGACTGAACTCACTTTTGTGTGATGTGATGTTCAGTCTGAACTCACTTTTGTGTGATGTTCAGTCTGAACTCACTTTTGTGTGATGTGATGTTCAGTCTGAACTCACTTTTGTGTGATGTTCAGTCTGAACTCACTTTTGTGTGATGTGATGTCCAGACTGAACTCACTTTTGTGTGATGTTCAGACTGAACTCACTTTTGTGTGATGTGATGTTCAGACTGAACTCACTTTTGAGTGATGTGATGTTCAGTCTGAACTCACTTTTGAGTGATGTGATGTTCAGTCTGAACTATGAAATGGTGACCAATAATGTAAAGATCATTTATTACGACACACGGCTTAAAATGTGCAACCCCCTCTGTCTATTCCATCTCACTCTTCAGTCACATATATTCACTTCAGTTCTACAGATCCATCATTTCCTGCAGCTCGCCTGCTGTTCCCTCGCTTCGTCGCATACTTTCACAAGGCCATCTAGTTATTTTAGGATCACCCTTTTAACTCAAAATACAGCCCTCTCGCTCTAACACAAACATTCTTCAGCTTCCACAAACCTTTAGATAATCTGTCTGACTTTACAGCTGAGCATATATATCACACACCGCAGTCAGTTGACATATGTGAGCTTAATTGTGCGTCCAGTGTGTGTGTTAAAATGTGTGTTTGTGCTGTAAGTGTTTGTGCGTGACATGTCAGCCATCTCAAAACCGAATCTGCTATTTCCAACGTTTCTGCAAAGAAAAACAGATTGGGAGAAAACCTCAAAAATGTCGTCAGTCTCAACACCATCATTTAAAAGAAATCTGATCTGGGGGAATGTGAGTGAGCGACAAAGAATGAGAGATTGTTCTGGAATATAAATACTCTGACCCCGTCTCTTCTCCGCAGCTCCAGACCACCGCACCCGCAGCAAACACACTTACACACACTAACTGCTACTTGCAGGAGAGCATGTATGCCCACATTGCGCTCATGGGGTTCAGAGGAGGTTCGATGTGAGCGACAGACCGAGCTGGGAGCAAATGGTTCTTAGTGTTTTCTGTCTCGCCAAAGCAGAGTAAATTTAGCACTGTGCTGGTGTGTAGACTGGAACATAACAGAGCTGCTGTCATGTGGAGATGCAAAAGATACAGCAACCACCTGATTTGCTTCCACAATCCATCATTTAGTAGGGGTGGGGAAATAAAATCGATACAGCTAGTATCGCGATATTTTGCACAGAAATATAGTATCGCAACACGAAGTGAAGTATTGATCTTTTATTATATAAATTGTACATGAGAAGTTTGTTTTTTGGCACTAATAAAATTGCTTTTTCAGTCTACTCGAAAAAGAGTTTTGCTTTGGGGACACAATTTGAAGTTGGGAAAAGAAAATATTGCAATAAATCGCAATATGTTTAAAATCGCAAAAATATCGTATCGTGATAATATCGTATGTGGGGGCTCTGGTGATTCCCACCCCTATCATTTAGGTCACACTGCATGAGGGCAAGGATACAGTACCAACACCAAATTATGTTTCCCCCCCCACATCGTTACTTTGAATTTGTTTCTATAAAATCCTTACATTTACACATATAACAAATACACTTTGGTATTCTGGTGCATAACAATAAAGGTAGAAAGGTAGAAAATTATAATAAAGATAAAGACAGAGCAAGTACAGCAGGTCAAGTAATCATAAATACAAAATTAAAAATAAGACATGAAAAGAAAAAGAATAATAAAGGATTTGTAAAATATGGCTATTGTTTGAATTACAGTCAGTGCAGGGATGTGCAAAATATTTATAATGGATTTCATTTTACGATAGAAGTCAAATGTTAACTTTTCCCTAAATGCAAGAAGCTGTCTAAGAACTAACAATCTAAAATTGGCAACATTCTAATTGAAATCAGGAACTGTCCAAGTGTCAACTCAACATGGACAAGGTATTTTGACAAAATAATCTTAACTTTCTCTGGAACTTTATTTTCTGCATCCCACTCCTGAGATGAATGGATTTGGCTCAGTTGCTCATGAACGTGGTTTAGTTAGTGCCATACTTGGGTCACGTGCTGACAACTAGCTTTCAGGCAGTCATTACTACGGGGCTACGGACATGTTTCACAATCAGTACCAAAATATGCTGAGGTTCAATACTCAGCCCTAGAACTCTGGACCTGTCTTTCAGGCTTTCTTTTGCCTTACCTCAAAAATGTATCGTCACATTAAAACTGTCCTATAATGTCTTAAACATCTGACTTCAGAGACAGAAGATGAAAGATGTGTTAGAATGACTAAGTGTCATGACAGTACACAGGATTGTACTTGACTCCAGTCTAATCTGATGTTTATAATTCAAGGTTTTACTGAAGCTGGGTGCTATGGCATCAAGTTGTCTCTGTTCACAATTGAAAGGTTAAAGGTTTGGTTCACTCAAGCTACAAAAACACATTTTCTCAATTACCTCTAGTAGGGCTGGGTGTTAAACTTCAATACTTTGTTGGTACAGGCCGAAATGTGCACCAAACTCTGTCAAGTACCTAAAGCTGGCCTGATTAATTATTGTGTGTTTATGCTGTATTTTTTTAGGCAACCATTTTAAGAAACTGGCAACCAATCCTAGAACATGTTAAATTTAGGGACAGCAAACTGCAAAACGTACAAAAATAAATCCATTTTTAATATTTCATACATTAGTAATATTTAAATATTGCTGCTACACTCTGAACCATAACCGTGCATTGGTATAATGCTAATTAGTCACATTAGCTCCCAAGAGCATTTCCATTTTCTCTGTTCTGGGTGTTTAATTCCTGCCTGGG